AGAACAAATGACGCAACTGCCAGTAAATCTAAGAGAATCAAGTGAAAAACAAATATAAAATGGCTTGAAAACAGAAAAACAAATATGGGCGTTTGGCAAAGTGCACACAACCACAAGAACATAGAAAAACGAATAGTTTCCTATATAGCTGCAAGAACAAGTATGGCAGGCTGAGTAACGGCCCCCCCAAAGATGTCCACACCCTGGTCCCTGGAATCTGTGAGCATGCTACATCACCTGGCCAAAGGTCTTTATAAATGTGATTAAAATAGAGAGATTTTCCTGGATTAGCCACATGAACCCAAAGTAGTGACAAGGGTCCTGATAAGAGGAAGACAAGAAAAGCAGAGTAACTGGTTGGTGTGGCTCAGTTGGTTGAGCACCATCCTGTGCACCAGAAGGAGGTCTCCAGTTCAAATCCAGGTCAGGGCACATGCCCAGGTTTCAGGCTCAATCCCCAGTAGGGGACGTGCAGGAGACAGCCAATCGATGTTTCTCTCTCAAGTGGATCTCTCTTCTCTCTCTCTCTCTCTCTCTCTCTCTCTCTCTCTCTCTCTCTCTCCAATTAAAAAAGAAATAAAAAGGCCCTAGTCTGTTTGGATCAGTGGATAGAGTGTCAGCCTGCAGACTGAAGGGTCCCAGGTTCGATTCCAGTCAAGGGCACATGCCCAGGTTTCAGGCTTGATCCCCAGTAGGTGGTGTACAGGGGGCAGCCAATCAATGATTCTCTCATCATTAATGTTTCTATCTCTCTCTCTCCCTTTCCCTTCTTCTCTGAAATCAATAAAAATAGATTTTTAAAAAAGAAATAAAAAGAAAATCAAGGTTAGAAAAAGGTTTGGGGACAAAAGCAGAGGTTAAACTGATGAGCTTCAAAGATGGAGAATTCCACCAGGAATGTAGGCAGGCTCCAGAAACTGGAAAGGGCAAAGAAATGAATTTTCCTCTTTTTATAAGATAGTAAATTTGTGTTGTTTTAAGCCACGAAATTTGCAGTAACTTATACCAGCAATCAGAAAGTAAAACACCAAATAAAAGACAACAGAAAAATTAAAAGATCCTATTCACAAGAGAAGGCACCATGAACAGCCCTGGTTGGATAGTTCAGTTGGTTAGAGTGTCATCCCAATATACTCAGGTTGTGGGTTTGATCCCTCAGTCAGGTTCAAGTTCTCTCTCTCACACTTTCTCTCAAATAAATAAATAAAACCCTAGCTGGTTTGGCTCAGTGGACAGAGTGTCGGGCTGTGGACGAAAGGGCCCCGGTTCGATTCCAGTCAAGGGGACATGCCCGGGTTGTGGGCTCAATCCCCAGGACAGTGCATGCAGGAGGCAGCCAATCAATGATTCTCTCCCATCATTGATGTTTCTCTCTCTCTCTTCCTCTCCCTTCCTCTATGAAATCACTAACAATATATTTAATGGATAGATAGATATTTTTTTAAATATTTTTTAAAAAACCACACCATAGCCGAAACCGGTTTGGCTCAGTGGATAGAGCGTTGGCCTGCGGACTGAAGGGTCCCAGGTTCGATTCCGGTCAAGGGCATGTGCCTGGGTTGCGGGCACATCCCCAGTAGGAGATGTGCAGGAGGCAGCTGATCAATGTTTCTCTCTCATCGATGTTTCTAACTCTCTATCCCTCTCCCTTCCTCTCTGTAAAAAAATCAATAAAATATATTTTTTAAAAAAAATTTAAAAAAACAAACAAACAAAAAAAACCACACCATAAACAAACTTCCAATACCTGGAAATAAATCTAACTAGAAATGTCCAAGAGTTGCAGGAAGATTTTTTAAACTTTTTTTCCTGAAGGACAAAGAAGAAAACAATAATGAGAGAAATGACACATCTGTGAACAGGAAGACTCGCAGGTGAAAAGAAATCAATTCTCCACCAATGAACCTATAAATGGACTGCACTTCCAATGGTGATTCTGATGGCCCTCCTTGAAATGTGGTAAGTTTACACATTCATTCAATGACTATTTAGAAAGTTCTCACCATGTGCCAGGCATGCCTTAGGGGCTAAGGATAAAGTGGTGAACAAAATCCCTGCACCTCATGGAATTCATTCTAGTTAAAAAGGCATAAAATAACGTTACAAATAAATAAAAATATAATCTTGTGGGCTAGTAAAGACTATGAAAAAAAGCACCATAATGGGACAGCTAGAATGCCCAGGGAAGGCCCTCTGAGGATGTTATACATAAGTAGAGACCTGAAGGATGTGAGTGAATGAGCCACCAAGAATGGAGATAGAAGGGTCACACCGAGGGCTCCAAGGTCAAAGGCCCAGATGCAGAAATCAGTTGGGCACACACATTCAATAGAAAGCAAAACTGCTAAATTCCTTTGGGAAAATTCATGATAATAGCAAAGGGAAAAGCTATTAAAAGAGGACACAGCAAGGTATCAGTACCTATTATAAAGGTATAACAGTGTTTCTCAACCTTTTTTAATTATAGTCCCATAAGCAGTCTTTTTTATTTTTTAAAATATATCTTTATTGATTTCAGAGAAGAAGGGAGAGGGAGAGAAACATCAATGATGAGAATCACTGACTGGCTACCCCTTGCATGCCCCCTACTGGGGATCGAGCCCACAAGTATGTGCTCTTGGCCGTAATCAAAACCCGGGACCCTTCAGTCTTCAGGCTGATGCTCTATCCACTGAGCCAAAGCAGCTAGGGCCATAAACAGTCTTTTTTTTTAATAGCATTTCTGTGGTATTAGGGGCTAACACCACAGAAAATTGTGTTTCTTAGATACTGTGTGTATACTATGCTTCATATATAAAAAGAATAATATTTTTTTTTGCCCCTCAATAACTAATTTTTGCCCTCCTGGGGTGAATTTTGACCCCTGAAGGTGGTATCACCCCCATTAACAGTGAAATAAACAGAGCAACCCTGGCCTGTGTGTCCCAGTGGTTGAGCATCAACCTATGAACCAGGAGGTCACAGTTTGATTCCCAGTGAAGGCACATGCCCAGGCTCAATTCCCAGGAGACGGCGTGTAGGAGGAAGCCAATCAATGATTCTCTCTCATCACTGATGTTTCTATCTCTCTCCCTCTCCCTTCCTCTTCAAAATGAATAAAAAATATATTTAAAAATAAATAAATAAAATGATCAATGAAACAAAATAGAATCCAGAAATCTATCTATGCATGGGAATTTATAAACAGTGAAATTTCAAATCAGTGGAAAATAAATTGAGTTGGGAAATAGTTATCCATCAAGATAAGCTAATATTGGACTCCCACGTGGTGTTGGGTATGCACACGTAATGGTACAGTAGTGGTGGGTCTGTAATTCCTCCTGCTCACAGGAATGTGGGAGAGCAACTCTGGGCAAAATCAATCGTTACTGCCTCTGTACTCCCTTAGTACCTTGCAAATACCTCAATTACATTTTGTTTGTTAATCCTCACCTGAGGATTTTTTTTTCATTGATTTATAGAGAGAATGGGAGGGATAGAGATTAGGAGGGGAAGAGAGAGAAACATCTATGTGAGAGAGACACATCGATTGGTTGCCTCCCACAACCACCCCGATTGGGGGCAGGGATCAAACCTGCAACCCAGGTACATGCCTTTGACCAGAAATCGGACCCAAGACCCTTAGGTGCAGGGGCTGATGCTCTAACAATTGAGCTACCGGCCAGGCCTCAATTACATTTTATGTATTACTATTGATCCCTGTCTATGACCCCATTGAACTGAGAGCTCCTTCATCGTGTCCAGGACAGTGGCAAGCACAGCATTTCTAGTCGTTTAAATGTAAACAATCAGCAATAAGGGAAAGGCTAAGCACCTCATAGCATATTAACCCAAGGGAACAGAGGAGCTCTGAATAAGACATAGTTTCTGCCCTTAATATGCATTTCATCTAGGAGAAGAGTTACACCCTCTATCAGTATAACAAAAATACAAGAGAGTGCATAGCAAATGTCATAAGGTAAATGTAAGTAATAATTAACATTTGGTAGATGCTTATTGTGTATTAGGAATTGTGCTGGTTCTCCATAACTCATTCAGTCTCACAAGTCTCTGAGACTACAGATAGGAGAAAGGTACTGCTTCTGGGAAAGAAGAGAATTAAAAGGAAGGACTTGGTGTCCTTGGGAGACTACGTGGTGATGGGGAAAAGGAACTCAGAAGGAAATGCAAGATTCCACAAGGCAAAAGAGAATCCCAGAATAGAATACACAATTCATCCCCACCCTCACCAAAAAAAACACAACAAAAATATCCTCTAAAGAAACTGCACTTCACTCAATGACAGAAGAGGGCACCCTTAACCTAGAAATTTTATTAATCCTCTTAATTACCAATGTGTCTAAGGAATTAATAGACATTAAGAAGAAACTTTATTACAAAGCCACTGTTCTCAAAACTGCCTGGTACTGGCACAAGAACAGACATATAGATCAATGGAATAGAATAGAGAACCCAGAAATCGACCCAAACCACTATGCTCAAATAATATTTGACAAAGAAGGCAAGAACATACAATGGAGTCAAGACAGTCTCTTCAATAAATAGTGTTGGGGAGCCGAAACCGGTTTGGC